AAATATTCAGTGGAAATAAACAAAGTTTTTGAAGAAATTTAAAATTAATTATAAAATTATTAATTTAAAATTTTAAAACAATTCGTTAAAATCTGCGCAAAATATATTTAAAATAGTAGAGAGCAGAAAAAAAAATTTAAAAAAGTTTTTACATAATTTTGTTGTGAATCGTGGTTGGCAAGTAATAAAAAAAAGTTTGATTTGAATATCTTACAAATTTCAAAAGTTTCAAGCAATTTTGTAAGTAATTTTTGTATTTTTTAAAAGAAAGCTAAAAATGATCAGGGGTTTTCCACAAATTTTGTTTTGTATCACGAGGAAAAATTTAATAACTGACAATAATACCTTGCGATAATCGTTCAGAAACCAAAATGTGATGGTATAAAGAAAGAAAACATGCGAAAGAAAACTTACTTTTATAGGAGATGATCCCCCACAATGCTTGTCTCATTTTTAATAATTCTTGTTTAATAGTACAAAATGAAGATTGTGGAAAACTCCTTATCGTTTTGAGCTTTCCTTTAAAAAGTACAAAAAACTATTTAAATTGCTTGAAACTTCTTGAATTTTTTAGATATTCAAATCAAACTTTTTTTAATAGTTACCAAATACGATTCACTACAAAATTAAGAAGGAAAAAAAATGTTTTTCTGAGCATGCGCAGTATAAACTTAATAACATAAGTATCTTTGGTATGGGTACAAAGATATTTCAAGTAAGGATATATTTTTACAAAATGCTTTTTACTTCCAAATGATTATTTAATTTGCAATGTGTCACGGAAGGGAAAAGCAGAAGAATTTGCCTTTTTTGAAAACAACATTAAAAATGGAATAGTTTTAAACAATAATAATAATAAAAAACTTATTATTTTAAAGACTGTATATTTTTCAATGCAGCAGTTTACAAAAAGGTAATTTCCAGAAAATATTACTTAGTGTGATTAAAAACTTAATAGGTTGTAGAAAATAAAGTAAGAATTTCTTCTACTTCTTGAATTTATCCAAATGCTGATCTCGTAATCCTGAATTTTGGGCAGATTTTTAAGTCAATAAACAAATTGGATAACTGCAAATATTTTTCTTTACCCCATTTATTTTCATAATATTTTATCATTTTTATATGGCATTCATTTTTTCGTAAATATTCTTCGTTCTAGAACTTAAAATTAAAAAAAAAAATTATCTTACAGTTTCCTAGAAATAACTCTTTAGTACATGAAAGGTGCACGACTGCCATTATATTTTCTGAATTTTTGAGAAAAATGAATTAAAAAACGTGTACTCATAAGGGTTCTAAAAAAAATACCCGTAACAGCCCATTGTGGGCCAGGGGGATCATTGAGGACAAGGCTCCATATTTTCGTGATCAACGAGCGACAATGACAGTGTAGCCATCGATCTGAAGCTGGGTGGGCTTCAAGCCGGCACTTGGGATCGAACCCCAGCTCTTCACAATGACAGCCCAGTGTTTTAAGCACTGAGCCATCGCGGCTCTAAATCAATATTTAAGGATTGCCGTTGTTGCAGTTCATTTACGTCGCACAAGAGCTGCACAATGGGCTATTGGCGACGGTGTGCGAAACATCCCTGAGGATGATCCGAAGACATACCATCACAATTTTGATCCTCTGCAGAGAGGATGGCACCCCCACTTCGGTAGCTCGAAGACCTGTGCGCGAAGTCGGGTCCTTTAAGGTAGAACAGTTTAACGAGGATCAATACCGCACACACTTGGTCCCTACGTAGACTGATCCAAGTGGTCACCCACCAGTACACTGACCGCAGCCAGTGTTACTTGACTTCCGTGATCTGCTGGGAACCGTGTCTTAACGATCAGTCCACTGCTGGACCAATTTTTAAGGAAGGAAAAAACTCGAAGCAAAAATCAATCCCTAAAGTCGACTTGAACAACGATATTTGATTTGATTGAAATACAAAACGCTTTTCGTATTTTTAATTTGCACCGAAGACATTTTAAGATTAGAGTGAATTGTTTTTTCGTAAATAATTAAATTTGAATTTTTTTGCATTTATAGTGAATACCAAATACTAAAATAGGTATACATCTATAAATTATATACCGTTTCAGTTTCACAAGGGTAGTTACGCAACAGTTCCTACCAAACACATTTTCGATATTTATCTTAATGTATTAGGCATTTGTAAAAGTAAAAGCTAGTCTTAGTTCAAATCCGGTAGTTTTGATTGTTCCGACTTCAACCCTGAAGATCAACCCCTAAGAAATATTAAGAATTAGAGTGGGAGGTATTGTCTCACCCACCATACTCAACCAATATTGTGCCACCGGATTTTCATTTATTTTGATCCCTGCTACGTTTTCTGAGAGGAAAAAAATTAGAAAATTTGTCTAAAATGCCATCTCCAGACATTTTTGGGTATAAAACAGATTGATTATTATCGTTTTGTCCAAAATGCAATCTCCAGATATTTGGGTATAAAAACAGATTGATTATTATCACGCAGGCATTAAAATATCGTACCCTAGAGGGAAAAAGGTTCTTGATAATGAGGTTGATTACGTCAATGATGAAGAATAGAAACTTTTAAAAAAAAATTATGTTTGAATTTCATTAAAAAAAAAATTACTATATCCGGTTTTTCTAATACTAAATAAGAGTAAATGCCGTTGTCAACACCTTTTCAGAAATTAATCGTTGAATGCGAATCTCACTCGCATAATAAGAAAACATCATATAAAAGGAATATAAATACTTGTATATTTGTAGGGAAATGTTTAAGGAACATTTGTGTAGAAAAATATTATTGATACGGACATTTGTTTCGGAATTTTTTTACATCATAGTGTAAAAGTTTTAATAGAATTAAAAACTGACTTGTATTGATTTGTTCTTGAGTAAAAAAAATTAATTAAAAATAAGTTAGGAAAAGCTAAGTTGAAATCAGCGAGTGAAACAAACTAAGGTGGTACGGGGATCTAAGAAGAATCGAGCAGGCAAATCAACGCAATAGCAAGTTGGGTAGCAAGCCTCATTGATATAATTAAATTAAAGTATAAAAACTGGAATAATTTTGAAACAGACTAAGAAGAAATGAGGGAGCGAAGCGATCAGAAAGGAACTGGAAGAATTATGTGATAAGTTCTGGGGATTGATGAGCGACAGCGAGCAGAAGCTGGAACCTTCTAGTGTTAGAAAAAAAAATATTATTTTATATAATGGCCTAATTCTGTGTTTGACAGTTATTTTTTGTCGGAAAGTGGTCTAAATTTTGATTGGCTATAAAGTATATTTAGTGATAAAATTATAATAAATTTTGCTGTTAGCAACAAGAAATGATAACGTTTCTTAATTGAGTTCCTATTTAATTTAAGCTTTTAAATAGATGGAAATTTTCAGGCTATTATTTATAAGTTTCCATTCAGTTCCATTGGAATAACTGCATAGGTAAGAAGTATTTTTTACGCCAACAAATAATAAATGAATTTTCACAAAAAAAGAGAAAAAAAAATTCTAAAGAACAAAGTAATCTAGAGCATCGGTAAATCTTTTTAAAACAGGAACCAAACAATTTTCAATTCTTTTTTTTTTTCATTAATGCTTTTTTTATCAACGAACTTACAGCACCATTTCGGTGAACTTTTGATTTCGTGATCGCATACTATAACGGATATTTATAACAGTAAAATAAATTTTTTAATGTTCAATTCATTGTAAATTAAAATGAAGATATTTAAGCCACTTGCGTACTTCATTTCAATGAATGAAGGCTTAAGAATGTGCAGAACTGTAACGTAACAGTTCTTGAACAGTCTTCTTCTTTATTGAATAGAATATATTTCTGAATATATAATATTCGGAAAACAAAAGCAAAGGATCATCAGATTTACTTGAAATAATGCATTTGTGTTGATTCTAATATTTTCTTGGTAAGTATTTTTTAATTTTGAATGATCAATTTTAATTAGAATTCAGCTATTCCGTTTTTAAGTTACATATTGAAATTCATATTACAATTGTAAAATTTTGTAGTAAGGTATGTCATCTCAAAGTTATGAAGTGATAATCTATGTATATATTAATTGAGAATTAAAATTTTAAATCTAAGAACATTTTATTTCGGGATTCTCCGGGCTTTATGAAGCAGGTAAGTGTTATGACTTTATAATAAAAAATTTCCTTGTAAATCATTTTTTTTCTAATTTGATGATAGTTCTATACAGAATGGTTTTCTACGTCTGATTAAGAGCTTTAAGATTAAAAAAAAAAACAATCTCAATATGAAAATTTTCATTTCAATATGAGGAATTTTTAGGGTTAATTTTTTTTATTAAGCATTTTTAGGGTTAGTTTTTTTTAATTAAGCATTCTTTATCTTACCTTTTTAGTTTATAAGTAGTGATTTTTTTTATTGAAAAGTTAAACTTTTCAATAAATTTTGTCAAAAAACTTGTTTTTCAAAATTAAATTACATAAGATTATATGTTTCTGTAAACTTTATATACTCTATTGTTATGCTTGAAGCAATTTGATCCAAAAAATTATGGGATATAAAGTTTCAATAGACTATTCATATTAGGTCATTAAATTTAGTTGACCAATTTCTCAAAAATTAGGATTTCTCTCTAATAGGAATATAGATGCATATTATTTTCATTTATTCAGTTACAAATATTTTTCCTATGTGTTTTAAATAATCCTTCTTCAAAACAAAGAGATTCTATTTCGAGATATGTATTTTATATTGTCATTTGCATAAGAAGGAATATCATTTTTTTAAAAATTTAATAAGCCACATTAAAAAAGAAACGTAACCATGCCCACTGAAGAAATCTCCAAAGAACGTGTTGTTCTCCTAGCAGCCATTCGTCTCAAATAACAACGCCCCCTAAAGGTCGTTGTGTTCGTGAATGAGCGTTCTCGCTTACATCTCCTAATTCGCATACGCGATTTTCTAGCATGCAGTACTCACAACCGCGAAATTTTTACAAGCAGTAAGAACGGTTCCGAAAATATTAAAAAAAATTAATATTTTTATGGCATCGCAAGGACTTTGTTTTCTTTGCATTTCTGTTGTTGTTCCAAAGTTTCGGAATTCCGATCTGAAGTAATTAAGATATACAAGAAGTTTTGAAGGGAGGTGTTTCAAAAGTGTTGAATCACTCCACAGCTTCAAAATGTCTTGGAATCCGCAATATGATCATATAGGTCGAACATTTGTTCAGCAATATTATACGTGTTTTGATGATCCTTTACAAAGATCGACATTGGCCGATTTCTACGATGTAAGAAATTCGAATGGTATACTCAAGGAAATATTTTCTACAGTTCGTGTGTCGTTGCTCAGAGAAAAAAATATTGCTGATAAAAGCGCAATTACATAATCAGTTTCACAAAATTATGTTTATTTTATATATAAATGATAAAGATTTCATATAAAATGAGGGGATGTGACCGAAACGAAGTTTACTGTTCCAGTCTTATGGCTCTAGTCTTATAGACAATTTTTAGTCTTATCGCTTTCTCTTAATAAAATAAATTAGATTTCATATGAATTCAATTGCCATATCTTTAAAAGGAACCTAAGGAACTTCTCCCAAATGAAAATTGAAGTTTTGCTTTGAAAGGGGCTGTGATGGAGTTTGATAGTCCTTTATAATTTTCCTAAAATTATTTAATTTTCATAATGTACACACACAGATGTAGGTCCCGTAAATACTCAGGGAGAAAGGTAAAATAAATATAGCTGTCCGTGTCCCTGAAACGAGAAAAAGCTGGCATTAATACTATTTCATACCTACTTTGTTTTCGAGAAAAATTAAGAACCTTATTTATAGTGGGGCTCTCAGGAGAACTCCTCCAGACGTCAGTCTCGTGTCGTGGCGGATACCATGGTTATGAGAAAAAATCAATTTGAATAGGGGTGTAGAGTGAATAGTTTTGTCTTGATCTTTGCATTGGTCAGCGTGAGTAAACCAATTGACACCTTCGTTCCTCAATTGCACCTCCTTTAGAAATCTCTCACTTGTTATCATAGCAGCAGACAGCCCCAGACTTTTAGTCTGGAGGAGTTCTTCTCAAAACCGCACAATACCGTGATTTATTAATAGATTTAATCCTTATTCAAGAGTTTTACTAAGTAATAAATATTTTTTAATAAGTCTTGATTATGACAAACATTTATTTCTTGTGAAAACAAACTGGAAATGAAATGGTTTTACTATGAACTTTTTTTTCTTTTCAAGGGCACAAACTGTCCTGTGTAAAATAAAGAGTGGTAGAATAAACTAAACAATAGAAAACCAATTGACACCTTCGTTCCTCCATTGCACCTCCTTTAGAAATCTCTCGCTTGTTACCATAACTGCAGACAGCCTCAGACTTTTAGTCAGGAAGAGTTCTTCTCAAAGCCACACAATACCATGATTTATTAAAAGATTTAATCCTTATACAAGAGTTTTACTAGGTGATAAATATTTTTTAATAAGTCTTGATAATGACAAACATTTATTTCCCGTGAAAACAAACTGGAAATGAAATGGTTTTACTATGAACTTTTTTTCTTTTCAAGGGCACAAACAAACCTGTATAAAATAAAGAGGGGTAGAATAAAATAAACAATAGAACTACCATACAAATTAAAATAAATAATAGATAATTTTTATAACGACTGCAATATCATTGCATTAAGTTTATAAATATTCATAGAAAATTCCTGATACTAATTTTTTAATTTATTTTATATTGTTTTACCAAAAATAATTATTAATTAGATTTTCAAAATACTTTTAAAACTTTATTTTTGTTTTTGTTTACATAATTAATCATAGGTTCTGGCCATTAATTATGCCCCACTTGTTTTCAATAATTTAACCCCTTCCTCCCCTTTGTCACATGTAACCATGCTGTCTTTACTTCCCTTTTTCACACTGTATGACATAAATATATTAATAAATAATTACTAAGCATTTCTAATTTTTTAAAAAGAATTCTTATTGTTGAATATTGAGAACTTAATGAAGCAAGTAAAACAATTTCATTCAGCAGACAAAAACCTCCACAAACTATAACTTTACCATACTTCATATCCCTTAGTTAAAGCTATCGTAGCTATATCTATATATATATATCTAACTACCATAACTTTATTATTCATTTTTTGTTTATCATCGTTTGCTTCTTACTTTTTTTTGTCACAGAAGAAAAAACTCTATAAAAATATATTTCAATGATGTTTTAAGAAATTTCTACTTCATGTTAAAATATATCTTTCAGTCTATTTTTATCACTACTGAAGATTCACAATAAGTACAGAATACTTATATTTAAATAGAAGAAGCTTAATAGAAATAAACAAAAATATTTATCATATTTTAGTTGATTCTTGCTGTATTCGACTATTAAGCAACTAGACTTTTCAGCAACAAAAAACTGGTTTCTCCATGTTATTGAATGGGAAAATAGTGCATTGCACGGAAAGTTTTGTACAATTGTACCTAAGGGCTCAATACTTGGAGGGTTAAAACTGAACATTAAAATGTTATATTTAAATAAGAACTGAAATTGAACATTTAATATATTTCTTGCTGATTCATAAATGTACTTAATTTTTTTTTGTATGAATATCTATAAAAGAGTAAAAAAAATTATTTTTTAGGTAGAAAAATCTTTGATGACATTTGAGGATGTTCAGATTTGTGGAAGAACAAAAATAATGGAAAAGATAACGGTAAATGCATTAAATTCTCTAATAAATAAATTTACTACCTCTATATGCTTAACTGTTTCATACCCGCAAATAAGGCCAAACACATGGTAATTCGAACTTTTCTTTTTTTCCTTTAAGATTAAGGTTTGATTGTACTTGAATATTTTTCTTGGAGTCTAATCTCAGTGACATGCTTTTTCTTTTTTTGCACCTGGATTTGAAAATAACTATTCTTATGCCTTTTTGTACTGTCTACACTAGTGATCACCTAACCACTGATTACGAGCTAACCAGTAGATTGCGGGGACATTTTTATTGAATTGCAGTAAATTTTCAAAAGTTCTGTTTTTATATGAACTAACTCTTTTTGGCAAATAATTCATTTTAATAACTGCTGCAATTTAATGACAATCATTCATGTGTGTTAGATTAAGTTTTGCCTCTTTAAATGAGTGCCTTCTATGCTGATTCTGAAAATGAGGAAAACCGTGAATATGAAAACAAGCCACAGCTCTGTGAAAATGTAAAGTGTTTGTGATCTAATTTCTTAATATTTTAAAATTTAATGCGACATTGCATTTGCATTATTTGTGCTCATAAAAATTTGTCAGACTTAAAAAAAAAACAAACATATTTATAATTGAAGTAAATAACTGCATATTTATATGCAAATAAATTAACGAAATAAAACTATAAGTTAGCTGTATTCCAGAATTTTTCTCATGAAGGCTTTTTTTCTGAATGTTCTGCTAATACGCAGTAGGGAATAATACCTAAACTAATATATGACTGTGAGGTCAATTTTTGTCAATTAGTAAAAGCCATTGGAGTTTATTATTAAAATGTCAAAATGAAAAGAAGCCACAATTTTGTGAAAATGAAAAGCATTTGTAAATTAATTCTTAATATTTAAAAATGTATTGCTACTTTGTATTATCTGGGTGCATAAAGATTTGCAAAATTGAAAATTACTCACTGATTTGCATTGAGGTGGAAAACTTCACAATATTTTTGATATTTAAAAATTTATGATCTACTTGTCCGTTATAAAGCCCAGATAATTCTTTTTGGCATTTGACTGATATGACACATATAGTTTAAAATAATTATAGATTTGCCTCGCTTGTCATTTTATTTATGGCTTTTCGATTTTCCTTAGTGAAAGAAGTTTGAAAAATGTACTTAACATTTTGGTGTGCAGAACTTAATTCCTTCACTCGGCTAATAATAAAAAAAATTTCTTTTTTAAAGTCTGCTGTATTGTTCGGTAGCTCATGGTAGGATTTCAACGTAGTACAGCAGCTCAGATGTTTTGAAAATTTAACGACCACTGATCTAAACCAATATTTAAAGAGTACCTTTTTTCTCAAATCCTATACTATGAAAAAAATTTTTTTTTTGATTTTCCAATGATAAATCTTTAGTGATTTCTGAAGTTGGTAAAATAACTGATTAATTTATTCTCTTTTTTAACTGCCTTGTGCTGATATCAAATACAATTTAAATTTCAATATTATCGGTTTTGTGGTTTTTATGATTTTTAGCATTACCCTATTAGGCACCAAAGCTTTTGCTATGAGTAGTACTATATATTTTTTTCTACTTTGCTGCTTAATTTAAATTTTATAAATTTTCTGACTGATAATCTTATATATAAATATTTTTTACATAAAAATCTTATATATACATATACATTCTTGTATAAAATATAAAATTATTTTTATAATATTTTAAATTTTGTGACAAAATCATTTTTATGAGAATGAAAAAATATTTTCAAAATTCTTAAATATCATGATGAAAATAGGCATAATTGGACAAATTTGTGAAATTTTTTTTCTATTTTCCTACTTGAACATTATTGTTAAAAATAGTTTTCGCTGTCAATGTGAAAAATCTGTGTAATTAAGTTCTTTTTAATATCTATCAAAAACTAATAAAATTTTTTTTTTTACTAGTTGTTATTAAATGATCTACTGAACCATCTCCCTACAATAATTTAGCTGTGGAGTTTCACTCACGCTTCACTCACATCTTTTTTCACTCGAGATTCAAAGATTAAAGTTTCTATTATTTATTACTATTATTCTAATCTGATCTGTAGTTTTTGTTCTTTGTTTTGGCTTAATTATTTTATTACTAATTGAATTCGCTCACGCTTTAACTCCCTTTAACATTGAATATAATAGGATTCTCCACTTCTTAGTTAGGTTGCTTTTTTTTATGTGGTAGCGCTCTGAGTTTTTGAAAAGTATTATCTTAGAATTAAAACATTAACAAATAAGCCAAAATATTAAGGTCTGGAATGATATTGTTCAACCGGCCAAGGCTCACAGTGGGCTGTATAAGTAAGTATCTTAGAGGCATATGGTATATAATATTTTTATCACGCGTGAAATATTCCTAATTGAAAGAAACACATATTTAGAAAAAATTGTAGTTTAATTATAATACTTTTTCATTAATCTACTTCTCTAACAAGGAATAGCTATTTTTAAATATTTATATGTTATTTTTTAATGCTTACTTAAGTGTTAATACTTTATTTGTTTCTTTATAATTCAACACTTTCTTTTCTGCCACGTCATTTGTTAAGTAGATTTTGATTGTATTAAAGATATATATGATTGAAATAACTATTTATAGAACTTGTATAAAATTCAGGGCATCCAACCTTTTACACTTTTTAGGAAAATTTCTTGTATTAGCTACGTTTGTATTTTAATGGATGATTCTTTGTTTTGTAAAGTTGATATAAAGTTTTTTTCCACACCACTTCATATAAATAATCCAAATCTTTATAAGATTCGCCACTTTGTTCCAGCACTGTCATGATGAGGCTTTTAAGATGTTGGCAAAATTACCAAAAGTTCTGAAAGCTTTGGTTTTTAACTATCTACCTCTCTGTAAAATATTTTGCAAAAGGCATAATAGTTGGCAGACCTGAAAATAAAGTAATCTAAATAATGTTACATTCTTAAATGTTTTTTTTAGGTTTTTGTGAAAAGTTTTTCTTTAACAAAGTTTTTTTTTTTTCAGAGTCTTACATTTCAAAAAATAGCCCATAGTATAACTTCTATTGATACTCAACCAATGTTTGATGGAGGAATTTTAGTATGTGTTTTAGGACAACTTAAAGTAGGTTTTATGAATATTACAATTATTAACTCTTGATTAATATATGATTTATTGAAAAAGTTAAAAATTTTATTTAAATCTTTTTAAAGCATGGTTGTGTTCAGTATTTTATGGTTATTCATCTAACCTATAACACAAAAAGCTTAGTAATTATTAGATTGCGAAGACCTTTTTAAAAAAAAATTTTTTTTGGTTAGATTTTTTTTATATTTGAGGGTTTATGTCTTCCGCTTTATAATAGTAGGCACTTTGTTTTTATGTTGAAATAAATACATGTTGCAAAATCTCCATTTTAGCAACATAACTTTTTTAAATCAATAAAAAAATTGAAATTATAAAAATTATGCAAAATAAGTTACTATTGAAAAAATGTATGTTTTAAACCCATAATCTTATAGTATGAAATCCTAGTTATAAAGTAATACAGTTTGTTCTTAGATTTAAAAACTAAATTGTAAAATAATAAATGCCTAAAGATCCTAAAATATATTTCAGGGCGAGATTGGGGTGCTGACTCTAAGACTATCAGCACTACTTACATGATTCTTATAAATCCTATTCTGGAATACGGTTTTCCAGTTTAGAGCTGTGCTCCAAACATGACTATCCGAAAACTTCAATGGGTCCAGCTTAGTGTAGCCTGCATAATAACAGGGCTTCGAAACAGTTGCCCAAATGGAATAGTTCTTTGTGTGGTAGATCTGTAACCTCTCAGCCTCAGGTGAAAGATTAGTATGAAGTATTTTTCCAAGCTCACTAGTGATGGGACTCAAAATCGAACTTCCGATGGAGTGGAGCAATAACCAAAGATTAAAGAAAAGTGGCCCTCTGAGCTTGGCTGATTCAAATAATTTGATTGACAAGTATGTCATACAGCATAGTTTGAAACAGAGCATTGACCCTTTGGTAGGTTTAAATGGAGTCTATTTCCACACTGATCTTCCTTCCCAAGTGAGCAAGAAATCAGACGTCTCCGCTTATTTGAAACAACTGGCCCTTGAAATAATAAACATCCCTGTGGATTTCATCATAATATATACAAATAGAAGTAAAGATGAACGTGACCGCTCCGGTAGTGGAATTTATATTTTATCCCAAGAATGTACAACAAAATTAAATATAAGAAATCCAGACTGTTGTTCAGTCTTCAGAAGTGAGCTGATTACCATTGCTGTCTTGATTCAATTCTGTCTTCTCCCTACTCGTCTGCCTAATGGATCTTGTCTAACAGCCAAAGTTCTATATAGCACCTTACTAAATGGCATAAAGTGGGTGATAGTACAGGAAGGGCAATCATTAACAAACTGGAGTATCTTTCATCCTTTCGTGAGGTGCAATTCCATTGGATATCATCCCACGTATACATTGGTAATGAGACGGCAGAATTTTGGTTAAAGAGGTTGCTGGTAAGCTGTTGGAAATACCTGATTCACTAACTTAATTGGAGCTGTTCTCAAGAGCTAAAAATGCTTTTTGGACCATCCCAACCGTTCACTAATGGTACCAGGGAAAGTGCCAAGGGATTGCTTTAACACTCAGGTTTTGTAAATGAGACCAGACGGTCATCACCAGGCTTATCAGTGAACATTTGCAATCTGTTTTATTCCGATGGAAAAAGGGTTTTCCCTAGCTGTGTGAAGTGTGCTGACCTTCAGGCCACCCCTGACCATATGCTAGATTGTCAGGGCCTTTTAAGGCACGGTTTTTTCACAAACCCAATTCTAGTGTTAGACCTTCTTAGAGTAACAGATTTCATAGACCTGATTTAGCGTTGCCAAACAATGGAGGTGTGCAACAACAACAACAAATTGTAAAATAGTTTATTTTCTTTTGTTTAACAATTATCATTAAGAGCTACTCATAAAAATAATTCAATTGTAATAAAAATAGCAAGTTCCATTCAGGATTCTCTCAATGCATTAAACAATAGAAATAATATACAGTTGAACCTCACTGACTCAAACCTCTATTTCGGGAATTTTTCGATAATTCATTGAAAAGAAAAGAATTTTTTTTTAATTCACAAATATATATTTTTCTGGAAACAGAATTTTTTTTTTAAAAAGAGAACTAATCAAAAATTTGTAAGGAAAACTCTGCATAAACTTTAAAATGAAAGGATATAATAATTGCAAACAACACTATGAAAGCTAAAATAAATGTCCATTGATTCCAAAAAAAGGGGAGTTAACTCTTGTTTATTGTGTCCTAATCAGTCTTAAGACAGTTGCAATGCATATGAACTGACTACCCATCTCCAATACTTTCTATTGATTTTTATTCTCCAAGATTCTTGAGGGGCTGGTGTGGCATTAACTAAACAGATGATGAAGACATAGACAGGAATGAGATGGGTGGTTCTGCATTTACTGCCTGAAAGTTTATTAAAAGGAAATCATCCTGAGTGGCTTTAATGAAGAATTACTTATCATTTTAACTGTGCAACAAGAGGTGAAAGGTACAGCATGTGAATGTATGTCTGTGCTGTTTTCTGTTTAAACTGTCGTGTACCATCCCTGAAAAAGTTAAGAAATCCCTTTAGGTCATTTTAAGAAGGTGAGATCATTTGCAAGTCCTCTATTTAAAATGGTCATCTATTTAATTACATAGATGAACTTTTATTAAAAAAGAAAGCTGATACTTTTACAAAAAAATGAGGTTATTTAAATTTCAAAGGCAGTAATGATTGGTTGGAAAATATAAAAACTGTAACAACATTACGTATTTTAAGATGTGTTGCGACACCCTTTCTCTAAAATGGATTCAATAGCTTGCTACATACTTTTTCCAAAAACATGAAGATTAAGTTTAACTATAGAATCACGCACTACTGACTGCAAGTTATGGTTGGTATAAATTCCACTACTGTTTAATGATTGGGTTGGCAACAAGTGTTTTTTTTTAAATTTAAACACTCTGCGTATAATCAAATGTTTTATATCATTATAAAGAGTATGATTTGTTCTACCAGAATCTGTTTTCTTTCTTTTTTTGTGTTTATTTATAACACCTTTCAATAAAAGTCTTAATTGCACAAAAGGTGATTGTGACATTTGAAGAGGGTGTCATGCCATAGTAGAGTTGAGTTCCAAATGCGGTAAGTCAAGTCAAAAATACTTCTCATTCTTGCTGTCCAGTTGACTTTGATGAAGAACAATTAAACCAACTTTTGTTCAAAAATTCACATTAAACCATGAAGGAACTGACGTAGAAAATGGGCTGCTCCTACTCTTTAACCTTTATAACTTTTTTAAAAGAACTGCTAGAATTTAGTTGTCACAACCTAATACAATTTTTTCGATATTATATTAACATTATTTACCTAGTTTAACAAATTATAGACTGATGAGCTGGAGAAATAATTCTCTTGTTAAAAAAAATAAAAATAGTTGATGCCCAACCTGTAATCTATTTTTTAAAGTAAAGAAGCCACAGATAAGTTTAGAAAAATATAATTTCATTAATATATTGATTTGGATGTAAATATTTTCATTACAGTAGGGAACCGATTATCCGGAACGATCGGGACCATCGTTATTCCGGATAACTGATTTTTCCGGTTTTCTGAATCGCTACAAAAAGCCGTTTTCTTTATTGTTAAACCCAAGTAAAAAAAATTTTTTTTCGAAATAATCTTAAAAAGAAGAAAAAACGATGGAGTAATACACTAATGATTATTTCCAAAATGATGGTAAGGTTCAATCTTTCAAAAAAGAAAGAAAAATCCTAAAATCTTATAAGGGAAAAAAAAGTTTTTTTTAAAAAAATGGCGGGAAAATTTATTGAATTTGTTCCGGTTTTTTGGTTTTCCGGATAATTGGTTCTGTACTGTATTTGGCATTTAGATGTGTCAGAGTTGATAAAATTAGCCACATCAAAAGTTGTGACTTGCGAAGTACAGGTTGGGCATCCCTAATATAGAGGATTGCAATTGTTTGACCTTGATGTTAGATAAAGTTAATGTATTTAAATTTTCATTGCAGACTGATGATGATCCACCTCATACTTTTCATCAAATATTTGTGCTCAAAAGTCTAGCAGAGAGCTTCTATGTGGAACATGACATATTTAGGTTAGGTTTGCATCATTTGGGATGAATCTACCTAAACCTGTGGTTTTAAATGTGTGCTGTTGTGAAGGGGAGTTTCAGCTCTGGTGCAATCAACTAGCCTTAATTATGCTTACTTGATTCTCAGCATATGGTTGGGATTTTGTGAAATGTACTATGATCGTCAAAAACGCTATCAATATTATCATTTTTGTTTGTGTATCTAATGCACTAATTTAAACTTGGAGTAATCCTAAAAAATATTTTCCTTCACTAGTCTCAAAAGTTTAATCATCACTTGTGAGATACTATTTACTGCATTATATGATGATATATTTTTGAAATATATGAATTAATTTAACTTTTTATTAAAAATGACCAAATCTTTTAAGGTGATTATTTTAAATTAAAAATTTATTTGGTGTGCTTACTTAATAAGTAAGCTTATTTTAGTTTTGACAATGCATTAAATGTCTAAATTTATCTGTGAGTGTTGTGTTTGGCCATAATAATTGTTGAAGTATCGTGTTTGTGTGTATATATCTTTATTTGTGTAATTATATATTTCAGCTAATGTTTGAAATGTTGCAATTGACTTCAATTGCTCATAAGATTTATCAAATTATGCATTATTTGGCCAATTTGCAAAGTAGAATGTTATGGCAATACATGTTTCATGTTATATTTGCATACTTATTATTAAACATAATGAATAATTGATATATTTTGGGAGTGTTATTAGGAATGAACTGCTCTTTTATGAACCTTGTACTACTGTAAGGAACAAAGAAAAAAAGATAACACTCCTCTCTTATTTAAGCAATTGATTTATAAGTTTACACTTCTATTTAAATTCTTGTTAATTATTTATGTTATAAAGTTTTTTATTGTGAAATAAAATAAATTTTTTACTTGCATTTTTTTGCAGAAACATTTCTTCTATAAATATTTGAATATATTTTCACATACTGTCGTTACAAATAAGTAGCAATCTCGACCTAACTGAGCTAGAAATCTGCATCATGAAGGAAAGGTGTTAATATATCTAAAATATTATTTCTGAAAAATATTTTCAGAATTTTCTAATACTTGTAGGTTTTGTTAATTATAAGAACCTAATATTAACATAATCACTAACATTCAAAATGAAACCAACTTTGCTTCTTTTAATTTTGTTCTTGATTGTGTCAATTTTATTTAGTGGGAACAAATACTACTTGAATGTACAACATTTTAGACAATATTTTCAAGCATTTGCTCTAGTTTCTAGCTTTGTAGTACATAAAATATAATCATAAATTATAGTTTGGAAAAAAATGTTTTTTCAAAGTATGTCTTTTACATTAGAGTTAAAATTCTTAAAATGGCCCAGTAAACATAATTATTCAATTACTATACATACTAATGTCGCACCTAATAATGGAAGTTTTCAAAATTATAAATATAAATTAGCAGAAATTCAACTTTGAGTGTTGGTTTAAACTTTTCCTGAATTTTCAGTTGGTAGCTTTCTAGCAAAAAAAAAACAAGTTTTTTTTTCTCCCCTCCCAGCTATTTAATGAATAAAAGAGGGCATTTTGGAGAGAATTTGATCTTACTCAGAGTCATAATAACCTTAGGGTTCAGCTATTTATAATTCATTTACAAATTAAAAAAGAGACAAAATTGATGCATTTGATATTTTCTTCTCATGTAAAATTAGCAACATCTATGAAAGAAATTTAAGTGTTTTATGTTCTTTATTGTGGGTATTTATTTATAGCTAATGATTGATAATAGCTAATACATTTATTGGTGAATAATCCTAGATTTAAACATAGAGATTACAAGAAATAAGGAGGAGATTACTTATTATTTTTGAAAAGAAAAAATGCTATATAATTGGATGAATTGAAGTGTTAACAATTATAAATTTTCTTCAATTCCTCAGACTAACTTCTGCTACAAGCTGGAGACTTTTTCTTAAATAAAATAAATAAAGTTGAAATGATTTTGACATCCAAATAAATAACTGGAAAAGCATCTTTTTTTTTTTTTTTTAAATTTACATTTCTTACATGTGATTTGAAAGTTTTAGGTCAAATAATTTAAAATCTTACTTAGATACTATGAGTACAATCTTATATCAGGGTAGGGAAAAAAAAAAGTTTTTTTCGAGTCAAAAAAACCTAAAACATGTTTTTTTTGTTGGCTTTCATTAATGTATTAAATTAAATTAAAAGTAACCAAACCATTAAAACACATTTCACAGACATCTTTTTTAATTGGTGATTGATTAATATTTTGAATAAAATTCTTTTTTGTTCCAGAAATATGCAAATATGATATAACAGTATAATAACCAAAGATTTTAAATAATCTTATTTATTAAAATGATCTTATCTCTTACAAATTCATTCAGCATTTAACATCTAAACGTGATTTGAGAAGTGCTTTTAAAAAATAAGTTTTCCCCTTCATAGCATGCATGAAAATTTAATATTTCAGCATTATTTTCACTAATGTCATTATACAATTTGTAGCATCAATTAATTGCCATGATCAAAATTTCTTGTTTCTTTTAATTTATCAATACAAATTTTAATAAAAGCAACCATGAGATATTCAAGACAGTTTATTATTTCAATTTAAAAATATTTAAATTTAATAGAATGATGAAAAAGAGTAAAATTAATAAATAGGCTACATTGATACAAACACATAAAATAGTAAAGGTATGTTTTAGTTTTAATGGTTAGAAAAATAAAGTATAAATTACTTTTTTATCATTTATTTCAACATAATGCAGCTTAAAATATAACAGTGTTCTTATTGATGTATTGCGGCATTAGGAAAACTTTAAAAATATTTCAAACATATTTTGACGCAACTGAATGGTTGAACTTGTGTGGTTTTGATTCAGAGGAAAGGTGGAGGGAGAGGTCTAAATTAAATGCTTGGTTATTTTTGACTGAATTCAAAGAAGGAACTTTAGTCAATCATTGATCAGTATTTATCGGGTAAAGAGATCATGATGTCAAATTTGCCAACAAGATGCAATAATACCAATCTCGGGGGTTGGCACAGGTCGCAGGAAACTGATTATATACATAAGTGTATAAAATACAATATGACAATACATCACAGTATCGCAATTCGTACTTATCAGCTACAAGGATAAATACTTGTGTTGCTGACAATTGAAAAAAAGTCCCTATAGCTGTTAAGTACCAAAAAATATTTTTTTTTTCATGTGAAAATTATAGTTAGTTAAGTTTTATGGTTAGTTGAATTTCAGATACTCGGGCTTTTACTGTTTATATCACAATATGGTAGATAAGATAAATAAATGCAATTATTTTGACAGATAAAAAGGTGAAAATAAAAACTTAGCACAATTAAATAATCACATAAGATAAACTAACATGATTTTCAAATTTGTCCAGCAATTTTGAAAAACTATGTATCTTAACATTACAGATGTAACTAACGGATAGTGACTTGGCTAGAAGGAGGAATATTCATTAAAAAACCAAATACTGAATATTCAGCAGCCGAATGACATATTAAAAAAAAAAATAATAATGAAATATTTTTTATAAGTAAATAAGTTAGTCATCCTAGAAAAATTATCAAAATTTAGCTATATTATTGGTATTGAGTAAAGAGAAAAAAAGTTATTCATAAATTTTTTTTAAAATAAATAAAAAACTGATTAACAGCTATAAAAAAAGCTTCAAATTTGTAAAAAAGAAAAAAATTCTTTTAATTCTTAAAACAAAACTTAAATGCTAAAAATATTTTCCGGAAAAAAATAATCCTGCTTTGCTTTGTGAAAATAACATATAAACAGCAAAAATCTTAAAACAAGAACCTTAAAAAAAAACGAAATTGACACGACTGAATATAATTAAATAAAATCAGCAGTACAAATCTCTTGGTTTGGTATTAAGTAATCCTGTTTCAATTCTTCAAATTTCGCTTTTCCACTTTTAGAACACAAATTTATAAGCCATATACAGGTTTTAGAACAGGTTACGTCTAAAAAAAAATACTTATATGATTTTAGATTATTCTTTATTAAATCTTTTCAAATTCTAAAAAAAAACTTACTCGGAAAATACATTTAAAAAAAATACTCTGCTGAATATTTGCAACATCCTTACAAAACATAGTAAGAAACATTGTCAAAAAATTAATGTCCTCTTGCAACAAGGCTGTTACTAATCAGTATGGTGCATTAGGCTGTTACTAATCAGTATTTGACATGACGCATCAAAAACCTGGGGCATGTATCTTTTTTAACATTAGGGACATTTTATTAGATGCTAACTCATGCACTATACTTGCATTATATACTACTATAATTATGATTGATATTATACATCATATTTATAAAATAGCTGCAAAAATTATTGAAACTATTAATTGGTTTTTCTAATGGTAAACTTAAGTACCAGTGTTTTCACTACAGCGCGAGAACATGAGAATCTCGCATATATTTTTCTTTTCTCGCATTAAAAAATTATTAACGCGAGAAATTCGCGCATTCTATAAATCAATTTCAAAATTCGCGAATTTCTCGCATTTTGGAAAAAGCTTCGAATTACGCCATTTAGAATAAAATCCGTTTCACTTTTCTTCCTGGATCTTTCATTATTTTCAACATCTGCCCCATTATCTAGCTTCCCTATTTACCAGTATTGTTCAGAACCTTTTCGAACAACAGAACACAACCACGGAACCCCTTTCAGAACACATTTCTCTGCAACCACGCGTTTACCGTAGGTAAGGTTTCTTCATGTAAGACGTTCAAATTTTTTATGCACTTATGCAAGATGGACAAATACCTTGTAAAGGCAAAATCTTCTATGATGATGCATCAAAAATATTCAATGCTTAGAAGACGCTAAAAATATATTATAATTAAAGAAATGATTTTTTTTCAAGAGTTTTTGTGCTTTTTTAGAAATCTCACTTAACTTTTTTAAATCTCACCCTGTGTTTGAGAAAGGGAGAGAAATTCTCACCCATTTTTTTTTCTATGATGAAAACACTGAGTACCATGTTATAACTATTTGGGTTTATATTATAGGTAATAACTATGAATTGTTAATTAGTATCAATATAAATATTGATTTTAATGCTTTTATGGTATAATTAAGGTAGATTTTTCAGATTAAAGGGTTCACCAATTATTGTCTGATTTCAACGTATAATTTTTTTAAAAATTGGATTCTCAATATTCCTTATTATTAATTAGGCATATTCAGGTGAGCAGAATATGCCTGTGCGGCTTTAGAGGAAATTCAAGCAGCTATGGGAAAATCTTTGGTCCAAATTCTTGGGTAAATTTTGATCTAAAAAAAAACTATTCATTGGGAATAATTTTCTGCACCCCAGCTTACATACACATGAAGTTAACAAACAAGTCTAAACATACAATCCTGCTAATTATTATATTTAATAAAATAATACTATCATAATTCATAAAATTCCTACTGCTTAACATAATAATGAAACACCTGTAAAACGATCTTTTGTTACAACTTTATAAAAAAAAAATGAAATCTATGATAAATTAATAACTGCATTTGGAAAGACCCAACTCTTTAGATTCTTAAAAAAAAAAAAAATTCTAATTATTGTTTTCGCTTCAAAGCACAAGTAAGAATTTTCCAATGAAAAGCTTTCACATACTAATATTAAGACACGACACAATACTGTTCTATAACAATTTCATAGTTATAGAATATTACTTATAGATGCCATTGCTGCTGTAGAAGTTAGTTAAAATTCATTAAATATTCATGACATAAGCAAAGGATGTAAATATGTTTATTAAACTATTCGAAAATCTCAATGATACAATGCAAAACAATGATCATGCTGATATAAACACAATGCAAATCGTTAATTCAAATGAATTTACCGGATTTCAAATGTCCCAATAATAAAAATTTATATGAAATCTTAACAAACTTTCTTCAAATATGCTGACTTATGAAATGGAATGAAATACGCCGACATACCTACAGACTAGCAATTTATTTTCCAGTAGATCCAGGTAGTTTTCTTCCAGTAAGTCTAAGGTTCTTTTCATTCTCGAAGGAACGGATATCACTTCTTTCAAGAAATCGTTGTCTCTCAATGTAACCCGAACGACCCTTGTTAAAAGTCTCGAGATCCTTTTCAATGCCATGTTCTTCTTTAAAGGTCTTCCAATCTTCTAAGCTCTTCTCAAGAACTGACTGCTTTTTACCTTTGTTCGCAAGGCTGCCCAAAACTGAAGAAAGACCTGTACGTGGGCGAGCAATCAGTACATCAACTGGCTTATCTTTCACACACACAGCATCCTTTTCCAAAATATTAATTGGCTTATCCTTTACGACATCATTTTTGTCTTCTGGAGCATCATCCTTAAGTTCAACAGAATTATTAGAAACCCCTAATTTCTCAACATTACTCTCCAGCTCCTTTTCCTTAGGCAAAGTCTCTTCTTTTTTCAGGTCTGCATCACTCTCATCAGGCACTTTAATATCCGTAGCTTCAGCAGCTTTATCAGAATTGGCACTTTCTATTTTGTTCACAGTTTTCGGTTTTGATGTCTCTTCGGAAGTGGAAGCTTCATTCTGTTTACCGTTAGCTTTGCCATAAGGAGTCGATCTTACACCTTTTAAAAAGCTTTGCCAAACATCAACAGTTGGTTTATTAATGGTAGGTGCATCGTTATTTTTAAGCTCTTGGGCGTTCAGTTTAGCTTTTTTAGTGGCAGGTTCCTCATACAGTTCAGCTTCCTCATCGCTGAGTTCATCTTCTGAATGATCACTTTCGACAGTGGTAGGAGGCACATAATCCACATCATCTTCAGAATCCGAAGATCCGGAGCCAGTATTAAATATATTATTTAAGTAATCCATATTCGAAGAAAAATTACCAACTTAAGCAACAATTAAAGCGCTGACAACTGCCGCTCGTTTAATTCGCATGCATATTAAACCAAAAACAAAGCACAAAGCATGTTTTGACAGATCCTTGATTTTGATTCGCTCAATCACATTAATGGTTGTTGCCAAATTTTAAATACGAAATGTTTAAAATAACAATTAGTGAGGCTGTGATAGCCGAGAGTTTTAAAATCTGAAGATATAATTTTTATTATTGTTATTCAGAAATTTCAAGAGATGGCGCTACTAGTATAAACAAAAAAATTTTTCCGCATGCATTTCAAAAATCACAACAATCAAGGAAAATAGCAGACAACAATTTAGTTTCACACCGCATATATAATTTTTTCTCTTTGATCGCGACTCAAATTATTAAATATTGCTATTTAGTATCTTTCTGTCGCATTGAAGCTGTATAAACAGTTAAAATGTTTGAGAAAATAAGCAGGTTAATAATTTCTGTGATGGGATAATTATTATTATTTTTTTTTTAAATCATTCATCTTATCAGCTATATATTGTTATCAAAACGATTCATATTTTCTAGTTTTATCACAGGTGTATCAGATACTGTCGATCATTCAATCACGCATTTTTTAAAATTTACCATGATCTGCTGGATTTTATTTTTGAGTCTAAATTTCATAATTGTAGTATCTCAAAATGTCATTTCAAATAATCGAAGTAGAGCTGATCTTTCTTGTGTTTGTATACCTCAAAAAAAGGACTTCAATGAAACTATTAATGATAAAGTGATATCTGACTGTAGACGATGTTATTATTTTACATATGATTATACCAAAGATCAGGTATGTTTCTATTTCTTTTCTTTAGTTCTGTTTATATGTTAAGGTAATTATCTCTTTTACTATTTACTTCTAATAACAAATACCTGTTTCCATACAAGATGCATATTAAATATCAAAAGTGTAAAAACTTTTTTTTAGATTTAAATGTTTCTAACAGCAAAATTAAAAAAAAAATTATTTTAGTGTCTTTTATGTTCAGATTTTGTCATTTATTTGAAATTTGAATGTGTACTTAGTTATTATTCTATTAACTTTTAACTATGTAAATTTTTTGATTAACTTTGTTTAATTATGGTAAAATCCCCGTACATTGATGGATATTTTAGAATATGTACCTGTTTGAGCCAACTAACTTCACCAATACGCCAAAAGATTTTTTAACTTGCAAAAATTTAGAAAAAAATTAAGTACTGGTTTGCCCAAGAGTAGCTACAAAATGTACCTTTTGAGTTGGTCCCTTTCTGTGATAGTTTTTTCTCGCTTAATACTGTCCAGTTGGCCCACATCAAAACTTAGAGATTATTTTTGTGTAGGTACTGATAGATAAATCTTCTCATATGAATTATTATCCAAAAATTTTATTTGATTTTTGGTTTCACAAGGATATTAGTCCAAGATATTACAAGTCCAGCGATTCTCAGTACTTATGATAGAGCCGAGGCATTGCCATGCTCAGAACACAAAATTCTTCTGATTTGTGTCCTATCCATGTTTCTCACTTTTGGTTCTTTTTAGTAATAAAGTAAACTCCTTTCTGTATTTCTTTGTGTTATTTAACATTTTTGTATTGATCTGCTACTGAGAGTTCAAGTCTTTAATTCGCAGGTTCATAAGTGTGGATAACATATGTTGGTTTCAAACTTTTCCTTTTTAAACATTAGTAATCTGCAGTGTGGTTTCTGCATGAACTTGCACCCTATTGCCGGTATGCTGCCGCAGGCTCCTTTATAGACAAAGGGACATAACATTACCTTTTAATATGATTTCTTTTATTATTATTTTTTTGCCGAAAGGATTCTATCTAATTTTGTTCTGCTCCTGTTCCTTTTGTTAATGTTGTACTGAGACAAAAAAAAAATCTCGAATGAAGTTTGTTTTGATGATTAAATGTTCGTTAACTAAGTGCCAATCCTAATGGTTTGAAGGGTTAACCTTTATATTAAATAGTATTATTTATAAAATAAGTTAGAGAATCAGTCACAAATCTGTGCTATCTCTGAATAAAAAATCTTTTTTTTTCCTTTTGAATTGGGTTTTTGATTATAAAAATATGAAGCTTTTCTCCAATCTGGAAAATATGATACTTTTAGTTAAGTCAGGACAGCAGTTGAAACTTTGTGCCCTTTAGTGTTAATTTCACTTTTTGCATTTTTGGTAATATCTTCAAAGCTAACAGTGCAATCAAGAAAATCTTGCACTTTCAACAGAAACATGTTGATTGAAATATAGTTTTTCAAGTACTATTCAACCAAATTTGTTTAAATTTTGTTATTTAAAACTGCATAGTTTAAAACTCCAAAATTTGTATAATTTACATTTCAAAATTTTTTCAACTGTCATTAAAAAAAAATTTTTTTTCATACATGTGAGCAAGAATTCTTGGAATTGTGCAATTAGTTTTATTGTTATTATGTACAAAGAAAAATTGAAATTAATATTATGATGTTTTGTCTTTCTGCCACTCTCTTGAGTAAACTAATGTGGCTATATTTTCCAGATTGCTTCTACTGCCTATATTTTGATGGTCAAAAAGCTAATTCACATTGTCTGTTGTACGCTTGTGTGTCTAGTTTTGTGAATTAATTAATAGGTAGTCTAGTTTCGTAAAGTTAATTATTTACCATATTAGAAAGCTTATTTCTTTGAACTCTTTTTATTTTTTAAAAGTAAATTTTGATCATTAGAAGAAAAAAAAAATTCAGGGTTATATAGATTTCTTTTCTTTTTGCGCCTGCAAATACACCTAATTATATGAAGCCTACACTCTTTCAATATCTACTTCTTTGATTTCAATTATTTCCCCCTAAAGAATTAGGATTAAACATGGTTTTTATTTTGTGAAAGTTTGGTTTAAAACAAGATTACTGACTTCTCATAGCTCGTTGGTAATTTAATCTAGTTTCTTATGGTTGCTTGAGATAATTTGTAAGTAATATCTAGGATTGATATTTTGTCAAAAGAGACCTATTTCTTCTAGGTTACTGGAAAAAACTGAGTGAAATGGAGGAAACTAAAAATAGACCAATATAATTGTTTAGCAATAAACATTTATGAGAATAGTTTGAATTTAAATGAGTTAAATTTAAAATAGTACAAGAAAATAAAATTTTCATGTCTACTTTTTTTTTCATTTTATTTTTATACAGAATTTTAAAATCTATTTATCACATTTCTTTCATACATAGCAACATTTCATTATAAATTATATATTTGATTATAAGTATGCTATTTGCAATTATTTATATTTTATTTTATATCCGTCCTTGAACAGCCGACCCAATTTTTTTGGTTTACGACTACTAATGTTCAACTCCGTAGCCTTGTAATTTTGAACCCAATCCAGAAGACAAGGGAACTCCTTAATCAAGTATTGAAAGAAACTTGCCTTTGTGGGGTGCTTTTCGATGGACTAACCCGCATTTGCATTACATGGAGAGGAAGACCTCCCATGGTTAGCCTAATGGCAAGGGGACTCTAACCCATGATTTTCACGTCTGCCACTGAGGATATTTCACGTCATGTTTGATTATACTTTTGAAATTATAAAATAAATTGTGTTACCTTATACCTTACTTTAACTGCAAGCTGATAGGTACTTTTATATTAAAAATATAACCATCTGTTTAAAAAAAAGAAAAACATTATAAGAAGAAGCAATCAAAATTTATCTTTAAACCATCTTTTTTTTTATGCCATATTAGGTTAATTTTTTTTAAAATATTGTATATACTTTAAAATTCAGAAGTAGCTTTGCAATGTTAAAATGAAGAATGGGTTTGAAGATTTTTATTGCGATTATATTCTTTACCATTATTATGTTTTTTCCAAAACAAATCTGTGTTATTGAATACAGATTTTTAACATATATAAATGTGGAAAGGAAAAAAAAAAAGACAAACTATTTATTGATTTTTACTTTGTTCTGAGTTTTTTATTCTGAAAACCCCTACAATTTTTGGATGTTATTTAAATATAGCTGTATTTTTTGCACACCAAGTATTTATAAAAGTTTGATAATTTAATTTTTTTTAGCAGCAATAAATTTTAAAATACAATAAATTTTAAAACTATGAGAATTAATAAAACTTTTAAATAATTTTTTTTTTATTAAAATGCATTTTCAATTGATGTTTTCTTTGAAAAAAAAATATTTGATTTAAATTACTATTAAAAAAATCAATTTATTTACATCAATCATGGCAGAAAATAAAACCATTTATTCAATTCACTTTTTATTTACAGAGTGCCCACACTGGCTAATTTATCAGAAAGCTTAAATTTGGTGAATAATGATTTATTATTTTTTTTCTCTAAGATAAAAAAAAAAGCATTTTAATTATGATTTTGTTTTTTAAAAATTGTGTACAAATTTATTTTGAAATAATATTTTAGTTACAGCAAAATTAAATTGTCATTTTAAAATAGCTATAATCCTTTACACAACAAGTATGAATGTAATTTTGCTAATTGAAACGTATTAAAACAATATATTTACAACAATAAAGGCTTGAGACAATTTGATGCTAAAATGCATTTTAAATTGATGAATTAATTAAAAAAACATACATTTGATTTAAATAAATGAACCCTCGTTAAAAAAAACCTATTCGTTCTGGGTGGTTTTGAAAATATGTAAAACGTGTGGAAGAAACTTGCCATTCTCAGCGATACACTTATTTCAATGTTTATTTAATAATTTGTTTTTAAAATGACTTAGCCATGTTATATATTTTATGAAATGATGTAAAAAAACTTAACAAAATTAAGCAAAAATTAGCTCTCTGGTTTTAAGTAGTTTTACAGTTACAGCTGTTTAAAAAATTGTAATAATTAAAAAAAAAAATTGGTGAATCTTCAAAATTTTAAAAATTTATAATTCTGAAGCAAATGGTGCAAAAAATCTGAAAATTTTCTATTTTCAAAGTCAGAAGCCGGTTTACAAACATGCCAAAATCATTATAATTAAAATTTTTGACCTAAAAAAGTTTTTTTTAAGTTGATTTGATATGGAATTACCCAATCGGTACATTCGTATATGTTGAATAATATGCATTAGAAAAAGATGTTTGGGCATATAAAGGTTTTTAGGGCAAATATTCTGTGTGTCTGACTAACATGCCGATGAAACATACAAAAATTTTTGTGATTTTTGGAGACCTAAGATGTATACTGTTTACAATATACACTACCCTACAATAATGGAAGAGACACTTTCAGTTTTTGAAATTTTTTTAAATTTCTCAAGAAATACTAAGAAGATTATTTTGTAACTTTAGGGACATTTAGTTCATGCAATTTTGCATACTAAGCCAAAAAATTTAAAATTCAGAAGTTTCAGGGACTGATAATAAATTACGGAGAAAAAAAAGTATATTTGAACACCTTATGCTCGAAATTCAAGCAATAAGTTTGTAATTTATACCGATTAATTTGGTCGTAATTTGCAGTAACTAAATAAAATTTCATAAACCTAGCTCAAATATTTATGGAAATATGAACATTTTCATTAAAAAACTATTTTTTTTTTTTGTTTTGCATTTTCTGGCTGAGACTTAAATATTCAATAAGATAAAAAAATTTTTTTGGAGCAATTTAAAAATAATTACAATTAACAATTAAAATTTGAAAAGTACTTGTTAAAAGCCTCGCAGGATATGACTATTTAAAGTAGTTCTTTTATTCTGCGCTTGTGCGGAAAAAATTAAAAAAAATATTCTTTATAATTTTTTAGAGAATCGTACTTGGCAACCAATGAAAAATGTTTGATTTGAATATCTTAA